ATAGCATTAATATTAGTTTCTTCGTATTAGACACCTATGTTTTGTAGTAACATGCACAGATAACCGAAAGATAACTTCGATTATATGTCAAGATTCTAGGTGTTACTAAAAGAGTTCGGAATACTAAATGTTGAAATTTAACATGTAATTTTTACTCTTTGGAGTTTATTTTTTTTTTATGCCAACGTTTGTTTTGCAGGTTCAAGATATGCAGAGATTGCTACATGGACGCGAAGGAAAACGGAAATTGCCCGGGCTGCAAGGAGCAATACCGGATGGGAGACTACGAAGACGAAGTGCCGAACTTCGCCCAGGGGGCGCCTGCGCTCCCAGCCCCAGGCTCGGGGATGAACTCGAACAAGTCGCTGCAACTGCGGTCGCAGAACGCCGATTTCGACCACAACCGATGGATCTTCGAGACGAAGGGGACTTACGGGTACGGCAACGCGTACTGGCCGAAAGAAGGGTCGGATGATGAAGATGACATCGGTGATGGCATCCCGGAGCGCGCACACCGGAGAGAGCCGGTGGAAGCCTCTGCACGTGCGGCAGGTGGTCTCGCCTATGCCCGCCGGAATCATCAATCCGTACCGGTATGTACGTACAACGGTGGACTATATATGGTTTTCGTTATTAGAGTCAGAAAACAGACCTCATACTGTTGAAATTGGCAGCATACTGATCCTCTTCCGCTTCATCACGCTCTGCTTCTACTTGACATGGCGAGTGCTGCACGTCAACGAGGACGCGCCCTGGCTCTGGGGCATGTCCGTTGTCTGCGAATGCTGGTTCGCCTTCTCCTGGATCCTCGACCAAGTCCCGAAGATCAACCCCATCAACCGCCAGACTGACCTCGCCACCCTCCGCGAGAAGTTCGACCTCCCCTCCCCCTCCAACCCCCACGGCATCTCCGACCTCCCTGGCATCGACATCTTCGTCTCCACCGCCGACCCAGAGAAGGAACCCCCTCTAACCNAACCACCGCCAACACCATCCTGTCAATCCTCGCCGCTGACTACCCTGTCGAAAAAATCGCCTGTTACATCTCTGATGACGGCGGCGCGCTTTTAACATTTGAAGCTATGGCGGAAGCTGCCAGTTTCGCAAACATCTGGATACCCTTCTGTAGGAAGCATGACATTGAGCCGAGGAATCCCGATAGCTATTTTGCGATGAAAGGGGACCCGACGAAGAATAAGAGGAGGGCTGATTTTGTGAAGGATAGGAGGAAGGTGAAGAGGGAGTATGATGAGTTCAAGGTGAGGATTAACGGGTTGCCAGATTCGATAAGACGACGGTCGGATGCGTTCAATGCGAGGGAGGAGATGAAGATGATAAAGCATATGAGGGACAGTGGAGGCGATCCGCTGGAGCCGATTAGGGTGCAGAAGGCGACCTGGATGGCCGATGGGACGCATTGGCCGGGGAGTTGGGCTGTGGCGGCGCCGGATCACGGGAAAGGAGACCATGCTGGTATCCTGCAGGTAAGTTCATATTCATCACTTTTTACAAGTTCATTTTCAGTTTCCACTGTGTCACTTTGATGTCAAGAGTTTCTCATCTCATTTCACTCTGATATTCCTGTCCAGATTCCGTTAGATTTTCTGTGAATTTTCATCATGTTCAATGCTACTGGAAACATTAAATCTGATAAATGAAATCTGGACGGAGGCATCAAAGTGAAATGACATCTATATTAACTTTGGGTGTCAAAGGTTAAAGCAATACTTTGAAGCAATAAAGTGAAAAATTGGATACATTGTAGGATACCGCTTGGCTATTTTCTTTTTACTCCACATAAATTCGTGGTCGGTGAGTTGTTTGGTTGCTCTGCACTAAAATAAAGTTATGATCATGATTAAGAGTCATATTGTTTTATGTTGTGATAAGATCAAGCCAATGAATAATTATAAATGAAAATAACAAATATTCATGGTGCAAAAGGTCCTTAAAATTTGAGAGCACGTCTGTGTTTGTCAATAGGTAATGCTAAAGCCTCCGTCCTACGATCCCCTCTTCGGCCTCCCCGACGAAGAGCAACAGTTCGACTTCAGCGACGTCGACATCCGACTCCCGATGCTCGTTTACATGTCCCGAGAGAAACGCAAAGGCTACGACCACAACAAGAAGGCCGGCGCCATGAAC